AAAGCACTATTTTACAGTGCAAAAGGCTGCAGGATTCCAAGATACATGCTAATTTACTGCTTGTCTGATGCATGAAAGCATAAGCCATGAACCTTCAGAACACGAAATTACTTCTTACATAAAAAGTCTGTTTTTCCTTCAGAAGTCAATTTCAGGAAAACTGTCAGTGTCCCAGTGCTCTCATAAGCAGTATATCCACAGCAGGTGTTTATAACAGACAATAGCACTTCACAACTGTCAGCTAATCATTATTATAATTAACTACACTTCATTCATTTATTAAAGAATATTAATGGATTTTCTCCTTAATAACATCCTATCAAGCCACATTATACCCTTAGAAGATCCTAACATGTCTGCAAACAGCTGAGAGACACTGGTAGATCTCCCCTATATACAATGTCAAACTGAATACGAATCATAATATACTGGGACAAACACTCAAGAAAATACATTTACTGAAGCAGGCAAAACATTTCTGAAAGCCTTACAACTCCACACAACAGCAAGAGAAGCAGAGCCCAATCCCACCAAGTTGATCCCTGGATTTTGTGTGTGAGGCTTTGCCTCGGCTTTTCTCATCCATTCCGTTTATGTCCTGTAGTTTGGTTCCATATGAAGAAGCACTATACTTAGAACAGTACATGGATACAATTTCTTTACTAACAGAGAAGAGGCTCCACAAATGCTTTCTGTACCAACAGGAACGAAAGAGTCCTGGGTTTACGCAGGCAGACACAGCCTGGATCATTAAAAGACTCTGTAGCTTTCAAAAAAAACAAAGGAGATTAAAACTTAATTTTCTCCTAGAAGTAAATGGAATTACTTGCTTTCAATCCTTCCTCAACAACCAAAAGTGCAACTAAAAAAAGGAGGGGGTGGGGGGAGGGAGGGGGAATCGTCACTAACTTCCCACTGAGATAAAGAAGAATTAACATCTATCAAAATTAATTTTAAAAAGCACATCTTTGCCTGTGAAGGACACGATAGGAGCTTACACACATATCAGCTATTTCTCTCATATTCCTGTAAGTATAAGCAAAAACCTCAGAATTTCTGATTCTATTTGACTTACCAGCATCTTCTAATGGACACACAACTAAGGCTTCCTGTAACTCCTGGCAGAGCACTGGGGGAGGGACTGTCAGGAGCTGCTCGTGTGAGTGTAAACTCACTTTTTCATTCATATCTACTACTTCTTTCTCATAAAAGTCATATTGGAGGATAGCCTTGAAAACTCTAAATATCACAAAAACTCTTATCCTCTTCCTTTAGCAAGTTCAAACATAAGACTTCTATAAACATGACACTACATAGTTTACAAGCTCTGAAAAACTGTAACTACCCAACATTTTACTCAAAAGAAAGGAACATCAACATGCTATTTCAAAATTAAACTCTACTGGAAATCATTGTGTGAACATGCATATATCCGGACAGCTAGGTCAGCAGGCCAAAGTGTACAGCATGCTCTACATCTGCCTTGGTGCTTATCCTGCTCACCTAGAATGACTGAGCTCCTAACGCCACTTCACTTTTTTTGCCTGCTGGTACTGAAGCCAGGGAGTCTGCACTCATGCACTAGCGACATCCCAGGCAAATGTACCTCAGCATGTCAGGTCACAAGAGTTTTCAAGTTTAAACAGGCCCTTAAAAGTCACTGCACTGAAAGGAGAGCAGTGCAAATGTTACCCGTAACCCACTAGGATTTTTTAGAACTTTTACTGTCATCAACAGCTATTAGTAAATAGTAACTTTATCTTATGCAGCTGTACCTTTGTGTTATGGATGGGATACTCATTCTAAGATACTCAGTGATGCTCAAGAGAGCAAGGAAGAAACAGTACCCTTCCAAAAAGGGGGTCTGGTTCAAAGGAAGTAAGAAACAGTTTAATTCTGTAAGCAAATCTGACTGCAGTGAAGTTAATATGCTGAGAGGGGGCACAGAGATAGATTAAATGGGGGGAGGAAGGTGTGCAGGTGACAGCAAGCTTGCTTGTGCTGTTGACCTTTCCGATTAGGTATTAAATAAAACCAATCTGTTTAATTCTCAGACAAGAACTTTCAACATTAACATTCCTTGGGTGTGCAAAAGATCAAAATCCTGGGCAGCAAGGCTTAAGAAGATTAGCATACAGCCTTTAAGGGTCCATTAGGTCCTTTCAACATGCAGTCTCCCCCCACAATTTAAAACTGAGCTGCCTCAAACTCAGCACCACCCTTAACAGAAAACACATCTCTTCCCTGAAGTAGTTTGCCAGTGCTAGGAAATCCCACTGCTCCACTAGCAAGCACCAACCAAAACAGCTGATGCAGCCATAAAGCTCACCAGAAGAACGCAACAACATATGCCACCACATATCTAGCCATCACCCAGCTCTGAGAAGCGGAAGAGTGCAGTCCGCAAGACAGGAAGGCACTAGCACACAGTAAGTACCACACAGGTGGTATCTAGAAGTCCAGTGAAACACTGCATGTACATAGGCATTTCCTGAAACTCCATTACAACTTCAGCTTCAAGTAGCAGCCACGATGGAAACACCAGAAAACAAAGTAGCCAGAGCATCCATAAGGACCAAGACTAGCATTAGTACTCTCCCACTATTAGGAACAATGCAACAAAGCGGATACAGAGTGCTGCTCATGAGGACAAGTTCGCCAAGGAAGAAGAGTTTTCCAGACACCTTACGCCAACTGGAATACACAATTATTCTTTTTCAGGATTAGAAGAACCCAAAACTCAAATAACCACACCCAGAGGATCTTTAGCTGGAGGAAACAAAGGCAGACTCCACGTGACTTGGAGAAGGATGACAAATCACAAAGTCATCTATGCTCTTGGGAACCAATGCATCTAGTGAAAAAAATGTGTGGTGTAGTTATGACCCGACAGAAATGGCTATACAAGAATAGTGTTTTCACAATAAAAGAATCTGGCATCAGAAATCCTATATAAACTAGCTGCTTCCAACATCTTAAGTGTGGATCTTGTTCCTACTTGATGTTTCAATCCCACAAGTCAAAGAACTGGCATCTCTTTTCCAGAAGCTTTCCCATAAACTGAGTTCTAACACACGTATTCCCTAAAGCTCTTCAAAAATAAAATGTCTCATTCTAGGAAAGGGAAACATTTGATGACAATCTGTAATTTAACTCACTCTGAGAAACATGAAAATTAGCTTAAAGGATTCATGAACACAAGCAACGTAATAGGAGGTGAGAGTCACTTTGGAACAGCTGGAAAAGATAAGTATCTTGAAGTCTTAATGATTTTTAAAATATTTACTGAGTAATAACAGCTCTTGAGACAAACAGTACAACAACATGTGCTGAGACATACAATTTTATTTTACTCATAAGGCTGTTCATTAGCTCAATGCTGGTTTTGGCAAACAGCCGATGAATACATGAGTTTCTTGAACAGTCTACAAAAGTCTACATCTCCCTCTTAGGCCTACATTGTCCTCAGTAGCTCGCACCCCATTTCCCCCCCCCCAGTTTCCAGCTCTCCGTCCTCCTTTCCTCCACAAAACTTCTTTTTCCATACAACCCGTTTTCTCCTCACAAGGATTGTCACTGCCTTCCTGCCCTCCCAGAGGCCTCACTGCTGCTAGCACCTGTGTGCTTCTGCAAAGAACACCTTGTCTCAGCCGAGCAAGACCCACTCTGCAACGTTTCCACATCACCCTCCTTTCCACAGCTGGTTTTCAGTTCACCCACAACAGGCTGCACTCACCACTCAACATTAAGGAAGAGCAAAAATATCACTATGCAAACACGCGATATAGCTGCTAACCCGCAGAAAGCGTATCTTTGGCCTCCTTCCCAGGACAGCCACTTCAGTATGATGGCAGCAGTCAGTCACCGTTATTACTCGCACAGCCCTGAATAATGCAGACGAACAGCCAAACGCGGATCACTCAGGAACTCGTTCCGTGTCTCCCAGGCAAGCGCTCGCTAATCCGTCCCTCCCTACAAGCATTTTATTTCCCTGCCGGAAACCGCGCACACGAAGCACACCGGGTCTCACTCTGCGACTCGGGAGCGGGAACACCGAACACAGCCGGAGACCCGGGAGCCCCCAGACACGGCCCTCCTCCTCCACGTAAGCCCGAGGCCGCTTCACGCCGGCGTATCACGCACGCACTGCCGGGGCTAAAGGGGCTGGCGCACGGCCGGGGCGCGCAGCAGACCCCCGCGCTCTGCCTACGGTGAGCGCCGGCAAGGGAGGTTCCGGCTCTCCCCCCGCCGGAGGCAGCCTCTTCGGGCTCTACCCGGGGCCAGCGACCATCCTTGTCCCACCCGGCTCCCCACCATCCCTCAGTGCCGGCACTGGCAGCAGCTGCCGCCGCCGAGCCGAGACCCCTCAACCCCATTCCGCCGCTCACCCAGAAGGGCTCGTAGGGGTCCACACTGCAGAAGCTCTCGATCCCCATGGGGCGCGGAGAAGCGACAGCGGACTCCCGCGGCAGCGCTGCGCTTCCCCCTCCGCACCTCTCCGCGCCCGGGCGGAGACGACCGGCACCGCCAGCACGGCGCCCTGATTGGCTCCGCGGTCACGGGGATGCAGAGCCCCGGCGCCGCCACCGCCCGCGCTGCGCAGCCCCGCCTCGGCGGGGGCAGGCGGCTCGGAGCTGTGCACCCCAGCCCAGCCCGGCGGCGGCGTTCCGCGGGGCGCGCACCTCTTTCGCACACGCGGTGGCCCGTGCCCCAGCCCGAGGCGAGGACGAGTCCCGAGGCTGGGAGCTCAGCCGGACCGTAACACGTGCTCGGCTCAAGACACCCCGCGCCGCAGCCAGCCTCGCCGGGGCGGAAGCATTGCCCCCCTCGTTGCACTCCTGCCTCGCCTCCCTCCTGCAGCCTTCCGGATCGTGCACCTCCCATCCGCACCGGCTGCCCGCAGGCACCACTGCGCGCCCTTCTCCGGGCACCAGATACAGGGACCCCACACATGAAGCCAGAGCCTTCCTTGGGGAAGGACAGTGAAAGCGCTCACTCACCTTCAAATACTTTATGTCTCAACGTGAAGCATTTAAACTGGTTTCAAAGCCCTGAACTACTTCGAGTTGACTAGCATGAACTGAACCTAAACGGCTTCATCCACAACCAACTTTGCACCAAACTATATACTGGTTCAAATAACTGCACAGCCCCTAAGGCTGTGTTTGGCTCTGTCTCACGGTGCACTCTTCACATCCAATTTAAAATGCATCGGTTAAGCCCACAGACGGCATCCATGCTCGGCTATCTGACACACCAGAAAATACCAGCTGGAGCATGTATGGCACATACGCCAGAATGGCGTCATACCCTGCAGAAAGAGGAGGGTGATTACATGCTACCTTACAGAAAAACATCTGAAACCTTTAATTATATGAGCTACATAAAGAATCTCAATTTAAAATGTTCTTTTGCATCCAGAGCAATTATGGTAACGGACAAACCTGTGAGAAGAGACAAAGCTGTCAGAACAGAGACAGGTCTTGTTTGTATGTGTAAGTAAAATGCAAGAATCATATACAAAGATAGTATCACAAGTTGCTGCTTTACTGGCCTGCATGTCTTCACTGTAGTTTTGGAGCTGTGCTGGTGGCTGGCTGTGGCCATGCTGTTCATTCAACTGCAGTATTACTGATCTGTGCTCCTGGATCTCTCATTTCCAGGGTGTCAGGTCGAGGAGCAGCAGCAATCTTCAGCCTCCACCAAGGCCCTGTATGCCTTGATGAGCTGAGCAGAATTATTACAGAAAGATCAAACCAAATTTGGTGTCAGAAGTGCAAAAGTTCGTATCAGTTTAACCCATACCTTAGTTCATACAGCATTAAAATCTTTATAGTACTGTAAGAGAACAGCTAAATGTTGACATCTGATTCCCCTTACCTTTATTAAGAATATTGGTCCTGGTTTGTACTATGATCTTTAAATCATAGTAAATAGCTTGGTGGGTTGCTTTTTGATGTCTCAGTGCTATCACACCTGTTGTAAAAGTTACATCGCAGCCTCCCACACATGTTACCCTACTGCCCCTCAGCTGTAAGGAATACTTTTTTATCCTGGCTACTCTGCATCACATATGAATAATAGTAAATGACAAATAATACAAGCTACTCCACAGTTACTTGTATTATTTAGTAGCCCTGTATGAAGAGCTTTTCCTTTTTAATAACATTATGAATACACAGTAAGCCAGAAAAAAAATGCAGCCTCTAAGAGCTTTACACTTTTACACATACTCTGTGTGCAACAACAGAATATAAACTTACTGCTGAAATGATACAGCAGAAAAATCAATACAGGGTGGAAAACAGCAACAACAACTAGAAGTTAGGTGTACTAGAACGGTGACATACAACATGGAGAACTTCGGAAGGATACAGAGAAGAATGCTTTGACTCTGAAAACTTGTTGCATGTCAGGTAAGCAGTCCTTCATCACCAGTTGCACTGGGGAGCTGGGCAGCAGACTTGGGAAAGGCAGAGGCACGTACTGCTGCTGACTCACTGCAGGTTCGTGCTGTGTTAAAGAACAGATTAACTTCACCATTCCTTCTAAAGGCTTTTTTCATTAATTTTATTTATTGCCCCCCATTGGAAGCTCATAACATAAATATTTGCTTTGAGAGGAAATGTAAAAAACCCCAACCAAATAAAAATAAATCCCAACAAACAAACCCCACCCCACAGTTCAAGGCTGTAAGTGGTTTACTGCTTAAGACTCACTTTTTCCTTCAAGCCCAAGGAGGCTGCTCCAACAAGACCATGACAAATCCCATTTGTTCATCCACATTGGCTGCATTTCCTTTGGGAAACTCTTCATACTTTCACAAAATAAACACTGTCGTCTCACCCCAGCAACGTGAAGCACACATGCATGTCTCCAGTCACACCAGGGATTCTCACACACTTGCGAAACACCGATATTCGGTTACATTTTGGCAGGTCTTTTTAATTAAAAGCTCCTCTTTGGTGATTCCTTTTAATTAAAAGTTCATCTTTCAGGGACCCGATGCAAAACTCTTCTGCTATACATCAGGGAGAAACTCTCACTCATTCTCCAGATTTCACTTTTGTCCTTTCTTACTCCATTTTAGGGTGGGGTTTTTTTGTTGGGTTTTTTTTTTTTTGGGGGGGGGGTTGTTGGTGGTGTTTTTTTTCTCCTCCAAATGAAGCACATTGACGTTTGTAATTATAGAGAGGAAAAAGTACTACAACCCTCAAAACACTGCCCGCTCCCGTCTCCCCCCTCCGCGGCTGACAGGACTGAACCGCAGGCAGGCAGAGGCAGGATACCGAACGGTAACTCCATCCACAGCGCACAAGCACTCATTATTCTATCCCGGGTTGACCCTGCCCAGCGGACATCCCGGCAGCAGAGGGGCGCTCCCTCACACGGGCAGCCCCAGACAGAGGGGAACCCTTCCGGGCCACCGGCCCTTCAGGCTAAGCGCGCCCACCCCCATCTCCCAGCACCGCGCCTGCGCAGTGGCAGCGTGTCGACTGCGAGCTGTTTCGTCTGGGTCCCGGGTGCGGCCGTTGAGCAATGGCGTCGGTAGCGCAGCTCAAAGCAGGTAGTGAGGTTGGGGTGTTGGAGACGTGGGGAGACTTGGCTGTGACAGAAGCACCTCGGGACAACGAAGGGGTGGGCGGCGGGTCGGCATTGTACACCCGGGTGCGTAGCGTAGGCGCCCCCGGCGCTAATGGATGCCGTCGTCTCCTCACAGCGCCCGCTGTGGAGCCGCAGAAGAAGCGCCCCTGAGCCTTCACTCAAATACTCTGCTCTTAGCGTTGATCTTAGTTTGGTTTTCACTCGTTGCAAATATCTTGATCTAGTTACATCCCACTTTTGAAATTTATCAAACGTGTGGTTACGGCTAAAAAAAGATATAATTGTGGCTTCTTTTAAGGCTCAGTAGTTATCTATAACGTTCCTACTGTTGTTACCTACTGGCATATGAACAGATGCAGATATCTTTCACTGTGTATATGCCGAAATTATGATTACTGTAGGTGATAAGAATGCTGCTTGAATACGTTTGGTTTTATATTAACGATCTTTTTATGGTAATAGCTTTAAAGGAAACACTGGAAAGAAAAGGTGCGCTTGGACAAATAAAAGCAAAGATCAGAACTGAAGTTTTTAAGGCACTGGATGACCAAAATGAGCCACGTCCACCGCTGACTCGTGAAAACTTTTTAATCAACGAACTAATTCGTGAATACCTGAAATATAACAAGTATAATAATGCAGCACATGTTTTAACTGCAGGTATTGTGTCTGAATTTTTGCTGTAATCACTGTATTAACAGACATTTGCTGTTTGGCTGAGTAAGTCCACTGGCGCTATGAAATTCATAGGCAGGACCAAGCTGCCGAGTCTCGTCTTCTCTTCAAAATAAGATAAAAATACTCTCTCCCCAGTTTTACTCACAGCATTAAGCAAAGTTATACCATTTGTTTTCAAGAACACTCTTTGCCCCTTTTCCTTGGGGTAAATACTTTGACAAAAGTAGTTGATGGGAGAGCAGTTGATGCAAGAACAAGAAAACCTCCTAGCAGCCTCTGAAATCAAAATGCCTTTCTTGAAATGTCTGCATTTGTCTTGGAAAATTGCTAACTATTTTTGAATCATATATCACATTCTTATCTCGTGGGCATTTTGGTAAAAAAAAAAACCAAGCCAAAACAACAGCCTACAAATGAACAAAATTTATTTGAGGAAAAAAAGTAAAATATACATAAAGTAGGTGAGAGTCTGAATTTTAGCAATTCTGGCAATTCATGCATAAAGAATGTATCAGAAGCCGTGTTAGAAAGTTGTTTGATTATAGTGTAAGCCTTCTTTAATAATTTTCTTAGATTTCTTTAGAGTGAAGATAAAAATCTTAATATGTCATGTGAATTATGTATGAAGCACTAATGTTTAAGTGAGTTCCCTGGAATTATGGTATACAATTAGATATTAATAGTCTAAAAGGGAGGTGTGTGTTCTCATTCTCTTTTGGAATCTGTTAATTGATGATGTTTTTCTTACCAGTCTTAATAATTTTTCCAGAGTCTGGCCAGCCTGAAGTGTCCTTGGATAGACAGTTTCTTGTCAAAGAGCTGAATATAGTTGAAGGCACAAGTGGAAAATCAGTGTAAGGAGTGATTTTGGAATGCAGAGTATATTCTGGTTTGCATATATTTTTCTCTTTATGGTTATTATAAATCACATATAACTGATCTCACCAATTCAGATGTTACTAGATCGTATGCCTGCTTTAACATGCTGGGTTAAAATTCACAATGTCAAACACAGGGCCATTTTCAAACATGCTCCAGACTAACATTTAATTCTGCTAACTCTATAGCCTTCTCCAGATAGTGTACTTGCATGCCTAAACACAAGTCTCTTATCAGTACAGTTTTCCCTACAGTCAGAAGTAGAAAACAGATACACTCTTTGCAAATCAGTGGATTGCTTTGTAGAGCAATAAAAAGATTATTGTAGTCTTAGATTAGATACAAATTTATAGTGCGTCAGTACAACTTCATTAATGAACTAGGGTACTGAAGCAGCTTTAAACACACTCAGTGTTCTCTCTAGCTTGTGCTGTCAGAATCTGTCAGGTGCTAAGGAAGAATCAAGTTCTTTTTGTGCAGCGGTGGACTGTGCCTGACAAAGTCTGATCCTTCATACTACCCAAGTGAGAATGTGGATCTGTGTTTTTGTGCTAGGCAGGCTCTGGTTTTTCACCTACAGGAGATCTGGAGTTCAGCTGAGAGTGTCTCTCAAGGCAAGCTTTCTAAGAGCGTCCTGATTTTCGGGGGGGGGAGGGGCTTAGGTCTGTGCTGATTTATATAATGACACTTAGCATAATTACATATATAGGTACACATATATATACATATGTAAAGACATCCATACATATTCTAGAAGTAAACATTTTAAGGTCTTAAGAAGTCTGAGGAAAGGGTGTATTTTTAATGCTCATTATTTCATAGACTCATTTTGTCTTTTCTCTTTTAAGCAGACCTCTCTTGTATGGAATTCTCTCTCAACTCTTACGTGATGGTAAAGAAGAAAGTAACCAGAATAACCCTGCAAGAATGACTTTGCTGAACTATCCAAAGCAGAACTTCAGCAAACCACCTTCTGAGAGAAATTAAAAAGGTAGGTGTTCTGTCATTTTTGCTAGTTTTATTTGTGACCAGATTTTCTGTACGGTACCTGTGCTTATAACAGCATAAACATGCAGATGAACACACTGTACCTCCTCTTCTGTGCAAGGAATGGTTTGCAGTGACATCTGTTAAAAATTCTTCAGCAGAATGATGTTTATACTTCAAAAATAGCATTAAGCTGTGTGACCTGACCATAGCTGTTGCTCATGTATTCATTTAAGAAAAACCCTACTATATCCAGCTCAAGAAAGACCCTTTATATGTGCCTTTGTTCAAATAAGTGACCAGCTTACACCAGCTCTCTGCTGGTATGCTAATGGTATGCTGGCTGGCCTTGGAAGTGCTTGACTGGCCTTCAAATGTATCAGTGGTAGAACTTTCTCATACATGGGAATGTATTTTATTTATAAAACAGACATTTTAAAATACTGCAGACAGCCAAGTTTATATAATTTTTTGCTTGTGACACTCTTGTTACCTTGTGGTACTTGAGCTACCTACTTGTTAGATACTAATGGGAAGGGTTAAAAAAACCCCGAATTGTTTAGCTTTATTCTGTTAAGACTTTTGGACTGTTAGAGAGCTCATTTAAACCAAACAGCAGTGCTGTTTTGATTTTTAGATGGTAAAATATCTGTCATAACCTGTATGCTGTTACAAACAAGGTTTACTGCTCTGCCATTGCTGGTAAAGACCAGAAAATATTCCAGTTCTCAGGATCAGAAAGGTCATCCACCAGATTGCTTTGTCATTTCCCTAAAAGTTAAACTGGCCAAATTGTACTCCCTTACAGTATTACATATCTGGAGTGGGTCAGCTAGAGACTTACTACACTGGGGATTTAATACTAGCATTTAATCTTAATTCTCAGCAAAATACATTAAACAGTGGGTGTATCTCTTTGTTTTTTATCTGCTCTAAATTAACTGATTTCTGTAGGAAGTTCTTAAACTTCAGCTGTCAGTTCTGTATATGAGCATAAACCTTTGCTGAGGACATAATTCACATCCCTTTGATGGCAGAAGCTTAAGCTCCAAGTTCATTGCTGTATGGCAGAGCACTGCTAAATCTTAATTTTCCTTTTCTGGTCTGCATTTTGGTTGGTTACAGTTAGTAATGTCTAAGCTACAGAATGAAAGGGATCATTGGTCCAGATTTTTCCTTCAAAGAGTTGACTTGGCCTGTCACTTTTTAATGTGAGAATTTAGTGCTGTTGTCTTAGTACTATCAACTATTTATTTTGTATGCAAAAATTTGAAAAGTACGAGGCCTGAGGTATTGCTGACATCTAAAAAGCTAAACACCTTTTCTTAACACTTAATTGAAACAATGTTGTTTCCCTCCTGCCAGAAGGGGGGCTGAAGAAAGGAAATTTCAATACCAGAGCTGTTACAAATTGTCTCTTTGTTAGAAATAATTATTTGTATCAGAAATTTCTAAATTATTTTGGTTTTTAAACTCAGTGTATAGAAGAACTGTTTCTAAAGTATACCTTTGTACCTCAGTTCTGAAATTGACTCTGTGCAGGGTCACCTTCCCCTGTTGACTCCAATATAATTTCATGTGGGGATTTAGTTCAGAGTTAGTTACAAAACTCAGGATTAATCGTAAGATATGACAGCATATTGCTTTTTGAACTAAACAGCAGCTTTAAGGCTTTTAACCTTTAAGTAACTATAGTCTGAAAACTCCTTTCTGCTTGTGTTTGTGGAATACATCAGCAGAGACCTAAAGGCAGTGGGTTTAAAATACTAAATATCTATATATTTTAATTAGGCTGCATATTCAGGTAATGTGTCCATTCATAAACTTAACCCACCAAGTCTCATATATAACACCAACTTGCTTTATATACTAGAAGTTGTTTTGCCTATGTAGTCGAATGAATATTCCAACAGACCAGGAATCCTGATAAAACATGTGGACTCTGGTGTTTCTGTTACTTCATTCACTGTAGCCAGGTTGGCAGTTGTCTGGAATCTGACCTTTAGTGATGCAAAGCTCTTACCTCATATAGTTGCATGGAAACATTTTTTTTGTAAAGTCACCAGTTTCCCATTATGATATTCTGTATCAAAGTTGATAATAATAGAAAATAACACACCTTTAGGTGTCCAGCTGCATGAGTGTATGTGTGTTTCATTTTCAGACAGAATTCCAGAGCCAGGAAGGACAGCTGGCACAAGCATCGAAGAGCCCCTTGTTACACAAAGTATGAGCAAGTGATATCTTTTGTATGCTAATTTCTCATGTAACGTCCTGTAAGAGTTAATTTAGGAAATTCCTCTTCGCATACATTTCACCAGTCTGTCCAGTGGGACCACTTCAGCTTGTTAGATCTACCAATGAGACAGGATGACTTTGTCATACATACTGTCCATTAAAAAAAAGGCTAGCAAAGTCTCTTTCTCCAGTGCTGATAGAAGCAAAACTGTATAAGGAGTTAGATTAGTGATGCCTGTCTCTAGAATTTGGTCTTACAATATACTTTATAAAAATAGGTTTGCCTTATAAAAATGTATGAGACAACTTGCCACTTCTGCACTTTGCTTGTGTGTTTGTGTTTCTGAATAAATTTTTTCTGTTCTATTCAGTGTGGAACTTTTAAAGTGTTCAACCTAAATATCTGAATCACTCTTTTAAAAGTGGAAACTGCTACTTTCAGGTAAGTATGGGAAGAAAAAGTTGAACAGAAAATTAAAGTGCTTTAGAGGAATAGGTGGTTTTAGTTCTCCAGAAATGCACACTATATTTATCTTCATGCCAACATGAGGGTAAGTCTTTTCCATCTGGAGTTGCTATAAGCTGTGTAACACTTACACAAGGAAGGGGAGAAATTTGGTTTTTCCCCAAAAGACATGAAACTCAGGCAAAGCTAAAAATAAAGTTGATAACAGATTACTGATTCCCAGAACTCTTTTTAGCTGAGGTATTTACATGTTTTGAAATGGGAATTTATTTTAAAAGCCAGACTTATAGGGGTGTGTCAGAAATAACAGGTTAGCTACTTATTTTAACAAAATGTATAGATTTTAATGTGTCAGATGATACTGAGAGGAGTTTTGTATAAATATATTTTAGGGTTGCATTCTTAAAAATCTTAACTGTTAGACAAATGGTACAGTAAGTGGGAAATAGAGTAAGAGGACGTGCAGTTTGTGACTGTAAGTGAAAGGACCCCAGGTTGTACACACCACAGAGTTTTGCTTTTATCTTGATCAGACCCAGTTGGTGTTACAGGTGTTTTTTTTATTTGTTAAGCAGCCTAGCCTCTGCTCTGATGTGAAACTTGCAGACAAGAGCTATATGTCGAAAGGAAACGCTGCATTTATCCACTAGAAGGATGCAAATCTTCCAGTGTAACCGAAGCTATTGCATCTGCTTTCTGTCTTCCCACCGAAGATCATACAGGAGCTGACCAGGTGTCGTGGAGCTCCCTGGGAAATGCATTTTTCATGGTGGAAGTTAAATACAATTTTTGTTCTGGCTGAAGAAGGCAAAGTGCCCTTTCCCAAGCACAGAGCTCAGCAGACTTACAGGCTCGTGGTCTCCACAGCCATGACAGCAGAGGCTGTTATAAGAGTGTCCTTACTGAGCTTTGAGGGGAAGGAATAGCTGTAATCAGAGGAGAATTCTGTTTAAGGGAATTTCAGGACTGTTTTCTTAGGGGATGGTTGCTTCAGCTCCTTGTGAGGATCCTGCATTGGGATGGTAGGTGGAAGCTGGCCTGTTTGCTCTTGGTGCAACTTGCTTCATCTAGTCCTCTAATACCCTCAGAGCCCAGATTTGAGCATTTGGGGCAATCTCTTGTTTTAAAGTACAGCCATTGTACAAGGAAATTAAACTAAGTGTATTTCCCTAATACTTATTTGTACAACAAAGCTTTGAAATACGTCTATGAAAATATATTGGTCTAATCACATTATTAATGGTCTAGCATTTATCCTCACAGTACATGAAGTGTGAGAGCATCTTTCAAGATGCAGACATGTAGCACATCCTATTAATGTCAGCCTGCCTTACTTGCTAACAGATGAATTCCAGGGCCTTTGCGACATCTGCACTTCCCAAAAAATAATTTCTTAAAAGTTTAAGGTAAGTGAGATCAGCATTTAGATGAAAATAATTCACAATCCTAGAGTCACAGGTTCAAGTTTTAGACAAAATTGCCACGTAGGTGAGCATGCACAAAAATTGTTTTCTCCAGTAATTAAAAAAACTCCATCTAGCTTCATTACAGACTGTGATGTCTTGCATTAACTGCCCTTGGTCCTACTAACATCAGAAAGTGAAAGGAGAAAAGAAAATGTATATAAGCATGTAGAAGTTTGGGGACTTTGATGAGCAAAATGCATTTCTGAGATAGACTGAGATAAACTTTTTGAGATAGAACACTAGCTCAGACTGTTACAGAGGGAACTATGTTAAAGGCTGTTCATTGTCCAAGCATGGTGTCACAAGCGAAGGTGACAAGGAGCCAGTGAAGTTTGGTGTGGGTATCAGAGCTGGAAAGCACTTTGGAAGAATTTACAAGATTAAAAACAAATTCTTTAAAACCAAATTTCTGCTCTCCCCTAGAACCAGAGGAAACTGTCTACGGACTCCAGAGGTATTAGTTTCTGTCATGCACAAGGGAAATTTTTGTCTAAACTTTATCAACACGCTCCAGGGACTCAGTTACGTTTTCCTTCCTGAGCACCCTTTGTATCAAGCTGAATCTTGGCGTCAGTTGATCAGTTTTCCGGAGGAGTGATTATCATTGGGTGATTAGGGGAAAAAAAAAATATTAGCTCACACTTGCAAAAATACCCTTTCAGTAGCAGCTGGTGTCCAGTTGATTCAGAACTGACCTCTGTGCTTCACATACTTCACTTAATCTGCAGCCAGCATTAACCACAAAGCTGAACATTAAATGATGGTATTTTACCTCATTAGAGTACTCTCATGATGAATTATTCTAGTTTGGACACAGACTACCCCTCCTGTTGCAAGAGAGCAGCTTAACACAGGAGGTAACCCACTGGTGTGCTTGTCAGTTCCAGTTACATTTGTCAGCTTAGAGAAACGTGGTTGGTAAACTTAGGTAAAAACATTAAAAAAATTCTTACCTGACACACATCGTTTAACAAATTAACATCTCCATCCGTGCTTTGCTTTTTTCCTTCCATTGTATTCAGGTTACACTGTAGTAGTGCAGCTGAAAGTTCATTTCTTTCCTGATCGATTCCTCTGGGTTTTTCCCCAAGTACAGTATTTGTGGTGCAAATTCAGCAAGGAGATATGTACCAGCTGCTCAGTATTTTTTCTAGAAAAGGGATTATAATAAATAAAGAAAAAGCAGGGGGTTTAAATAAAGTGAATTTTCTGCCACAAAGGCATTCTCGACTGGGAATCCACAGCTTTCACTCTGAAAAAACTTTATTTTAAAGAAAACCCAAACCACAATTAGGGAACTCCAGCTGGGCTACTATATTAGTAGATTCTTACATCAACTTCTAAGTGAAGTTTGGAGACCACTCTTACACTTGATCAGTTCCTGCCCCACATGGCTCCAGAGTGCAACCATTTCAGTCCCAGCAGTAACATTTCTTAGGCTCTCCAGCTCCGTTTAATGTCACATCATATATCACCCTCCACTGCTGCCTCTGTTAAACACACTCCTCAGGCAGCAAGCCTGCACGTGCACATGCAGCGCCCTGCAGACCAGCTGGGATAATTTCCACTCCTTTTTAAGCTGCTATTAAAATGTGTCTGGTTTTGCAAAACCATTGCATGGGTTTAAAAGGAACTTCTTAGGATAACTTTGATGAATGTTAAAATGATTGTAATTTACAGAGGATCCCATTGCGTTTCATTATTTCATATTACTTACATTCTTATTTAAAAGCTAAGTTTGCAACTGAGAAACTGAAATAAAAATAAAAGTAGGGTGGACAACCCTGTGAGGAGTTTCCTGCTAACAAGGGCGAGTTTCTTGGGTTTACATCCTGGTGATCATTTCCCTTGGCTTTGCTCCAGCACAGTCACACGTGCACAAGTCTGATATGACACTGCTGCCTTTCAGACCCTGGGAGGGCTTTGCAGTGTCCACACCTCAGCGCACACTGACCCTCCATTTGGAAGGACAGACTGCAACTGCTGGGACCGTGTGCCTGTGTTGGCAAATCTGGTCTTCTCCAGCTAAGACCTGAACATGACTCTGTGCCTGACATTTCTGAAATGATGTAGGGAAAAACCCTGATGCTCTTCCCCTCTCTCCTCTTTGCCCAAATTTGTTTACCACTGGCCAAAGCTGGAGGAAGGGGCTGCAGGTCCATCACACCCAAAAGTGCTGGTACTTTGACAAAGTCACAGCAGAGGTTTTCAGCCCAGCCTCCCCTCAGAGTTTTTTTTTAAGGACAGAGACCAATATGAGTGTTCAAGGCCAGGCTGGACAGAGCCTTGGGTGACATGGTCTACAGGGGATGGAAATACATTATCTTAAGGTCCTTTCCAATCCTATCTATTCTATGATCCTTATCCATCTTCCTCAGGAGGGTTTATTTTCCAGGGAAGACATGGCTATTGATGTCAAGAGAAATTATTTCACCCAGGACTGTGCTCTGATCCTTTGGGTATACACCATATTTAGTCTGTTGCAGAGAGAGGGTTGTTTCGGTATTTTGTATTTGGCACGTTGATGGGAGTTCCTAGAGGATCCTAGCTTTCCCTTTTTGGGATGTCTCCATCCACAGGTCCTACTGCACAAGGCTGTTGGCTACTAGCACGGGAAGGAGGGGGGACAGCTAGGGACTGAAGGTTTGGGGGTGTGAGGAAGGTTTGACAAGGACCAGATCACTCCCTAACCCTTGCAGGGCTGGCTCCCAGCACCCTGTCCTCCTCTCCCCCTCAGCTCACGGTGCCTGCTGCCTGTTCTTTCCACTGTACCCTGGGGACTATTCCCCTCAGCTATTTATCACTTCTCTTCTTCCTTTTATGGACAGAGGGAGGTATTTCTTATATATGATAAAGTATTTACAGTCCTTTCTCAAGAGCTGAGCTCTGCGCTGGATTGTGAAATAAAATGGAAAATCCTCCTGGGGAGGTGGGAAACAACCCTCTTGTTCCCCAGAGGCAAAGGAGGCTTAAACCAGCCCTTGGCTCCAGATGTCACATAAACACACAGAGACCCAGGGCAACTTCCACCCACACATCCCTGCTACATTGGGAATAACCCTCCTCTCCCAAGCATCCCCTGAACTCAGGGATTACTCTTAGCTCCAAGAAAGTGCATTGTCATGGGTGGGAAACCTGCAGTATGCAGGATCATGACCCACCCTTTGTCCTTCTTAGGCAGGGGGCCACCAGGGTGAGGATGCTGCCAAGGCAGGAAGGAGTTAAAGGCCCATTGGCTCAGCTGGACAGCTTCACCCTAAGAAAAAGCAAAACCTCTAAACGTGTGAGTTAGGGGCACCCCTTTCATGCCTTCCTGAAAGCCAGAACCAGCCTGCTTCCCTAAAGAGTAGCTTGGGGCAGGGGCAGCAGCCCAGGGTTAGGCCCTGCTGGGAATGAGGTACTTGGCTCAGGCTGCCTTTTTTAACCCAGGTACCAAGA